CACATTTTGCAAACATTTCATTTCAATCTCCATAAAGAGAATCTGGAAGCAACAGTCAGCATGCTGTATATAAATGAAGAACATCATGGGAGTTTGGAGAGGCAGTCTTTGCACGTGTAAGCAAATGTGTGTTTGGTATACATGAGAATGCAAACACTGCAGAGGAGAGACAAAGGAAGGGGAGGAGAGGAGAAGTACTGCAGGTCAGATTTCACTGATGTGTCAGGAGAGGTGGGGAATGGATGAGAACCCAAAAACTGTATATACAAATGGACAGCTTACTGCAGCCTCCTGCTGTTGAATATGCCAGAATATTCCAGTGATGGAGGCTGACATATTATATAGTTGCAACCAGAGTCTGTGCAGTAGTGATCGGAGGGAAGAGTCATGTTGCTTCCACTAACAAAGACACATTTGACTAACCAGGTAGGTACAGTCCACAGCCGAACAGATTCTTGTTTTGGTTAAAAGAAACTCACAGTAATGGAAATTCAATGACTTGTTGTGTTGGTGTTCATTATTGTTCCTCTCACCGTTTCTTATGATAATCTGATGCACATAGGACAACAGAGTTGTAGATGAAATAACTAATTAAAAAGAAACTTTTTTTGAACACAACATGTCGTGATAATGACTGTCATGACAAAACTAGGCTTAAGAAAAATCTATCTGACATGCATTTTGAGTTTATAGTTTGACCCATGCCCTATTTATTAACATAAGCCCCTTTTATAGTGCAATTCTTCAGTCATTATGCTTTAAGACATTCCTATTTATTCCCCAACAGCGTAATAATGGTGTCCCAGTCTATCAATCACTTTGCCTTATGGAGTTACGGAAGCACAACAGAGCACAGCAAAGCAAGCGCTCCACATACACTCACAGTCAGACATGCACACACACAGTGCTGCTTTCCCCTGCTGGCTCCTTCAATCCCTTCTCGCCCCTGTAACGGCTATGGGATCACTTTGTCACCCCATCACATCTCCACGACATTCATATCGAGGGCAAAAAGGACCCGGGGACGTTAATATCACGCCATAAAAGAGAAGAGACTCGGGGGATGTTAGCTCAAATATGCAGAAACAGTTCCTGTAAGAAGAGGTTTGAATTAGTCAGACTACAGATGAGAGGACTGAGAACAGAAGATGCCCAGGCTACATCATCTCAATCTGCCCATCAACCGACTGTTCCCATCTCCTTACTCTGAATGGCAGACCTGGAGTCGGGTGTATCATTTTACATATGCGATTTATAACATTTCTCACATTGCTTAAGTTGCACAACATAAATGCTTGTTTTTTTCTTAGACTGGGAGAATCTGTTTGTTTATATTCAAAATGATTTTTCTCTTGTGTAAAATGCTCAATATTAAGTGTTGTAATAATAATAACTTTATTTATATAGCACCTTTTAAAAACACAGGTTTACAAAGTGCTTTGACAAACAGCAAGAACAAAGGAAACTAAACCAAACACAGAAAAACATTAACAACAGTAAGAATATAACAGATGCAAAATACCAAAAATAATTAAATACAATTCAACAGAAAAGAACCCAAAGTGCACGATACACAACCAGACATATATAACCCGACCATCACAAGAACCATCATAAGAACCATCAATGATGGTTGAAAGTTTTCTTCATTTACAGGGACGGGATTAGAAATCTCAGATTATTTGTGTTTGCCAGGTTTGATATCTACTCAATCTCATCTCTAACCTGTCTAATCACAGTCGCCCTGTTAGTTTTAAGCATCACAGCAAAAAGAGCCACTTCTTGTTAGCAGTTATGCGAGGTGGTTTGATGGTTTATTCAGCTACAGTTGAACTCACTAGTTCCTCTTTAGTCCGTCCTTCTCTCAGTCTCTCAACATGCTCTCTTTGCTGAGTTTGATCTTCTGCACTCAGGCAGGAAATAGGCCGACAGATCCCCAATGGCAAAGTCCAACAGGTCAAAATTGACTTTAAAATTCGGGCCATCCAACTACTGGATTCTAATGACGACCGTAATGACTGATGATGGGTTTTATTTGGTTTCATGGACAGTTTTATACATTCTTAGTTACCTTTTTGTCTCTTGATGTTCTTTGGTATTTATGTATTTAATGTTTTCAGGATATTGAATGTTTTCAGCACAGAACTGATAAAGTCAGAGTCTATCAGCTTGCGTTTTCTCTAATTTTCTGGTTTACACCTGGCTGCAAAACCAATTTCCCCTCGCCCTCAAGGATAATAAAGTTGAAGTCTTCATCTAAATAAGTGAAGGGTATTCTGTCTATTTTTAATGTTTCCGATCATTTGGCTCAGCTCAGACGTAAGAGTCGACTCTCTCGGCTCCCAAATTATTCTATATTTGGTACCATCTGTTTTTTTATTAAATCAGCCATATTTAGCAATGATTTCACCAAAGATTGACTTGTGTGCATTCATTTTACTTGAACTACTCATTGTAATTATAATAAATAATATATATATTGAAACCATATTGAAACAGGAGCTGGCTCAATCTTTCCAATTAAAGAGCCAGCCCATAGAGCTGAGTCCTTTGTGAACAACATGTCACTAGTTCCTTAGTTAACAATTTTAATAAGAGAAGATCAAGTCCAGGAAAAAAAATACTAAAACAAGCACATTTAAGCATCAAAAATCCTCCTGAATCTGAAGGAACTGACTAGAAAAACGTTATTCATGCAGGAAAAAAATAACATTTTAAGCTGAGAGTCAATCCTTCCTGTTTTTAGAGGTTTCTGCAATGAACAACAGCATAAGATGCTGCAAGAAGAGCAATCTAAAGTCTCTGTAAATAGTAAAGGAAATCGCTGCTGTGAGCTCGGGTTTGAAGAGAATGTAAAAATAGAAGCTATTCTCTTCCTCAGCAGCACGACAGTTTATTAATAATACTGCACAGCAAAGGTGAATTTGATCGCACACTGCATGGACTCTGGATGCAGCGGTCACACGTGTCCAATTACAGTGCAGAGGTCATTTGGGACGGTTGTGTTTGGACTCAAATGGCGTAAAAACTGGTGAAAACTCAGACCAAAGAACAACCAGATATGTCCATGCGCCTGCCACTGAACTGATGAGAGATTTGTTTTTATATTCCCATCCAAGATACATTTGGAACTAGACGTCTGTGTAGGTTTTGGAAGCTTGATTCAAAGACAACTGGACTTGGTTGAACTGAAACGTCTTGAAGGCCTTTCAACTTTAAGTCCAGCAGCCTTTGGATCAAGCTTCAATTGAGTTTGGATCAAGAGTTTTTTCGGGTTTTGAGCAAAAAGAACAAAAACAAAACCAGGAAGAGAGTGTTTGTGTGTACACTTGTATGTGTGTGTGTGTGTGTGTGTGTGTGTGTGTGGTGTTTCTTTGCTGATTAGTATTGAAACAGCGCTCTCTGGTGGTTCTGAAAGGGTATAACATTAGTAAGGTCTAACACGAAATACACCTCTTCAAACAGAACCTATGGGTGCATGAAAAATGAAACTCACAGTGGTCAGAGATTAAGACTTTTATAGTTAAGAATCAATGTTTCACAAAAAGATCATTTCAGCATTTCAATCAGAACTTGATCATCAGCATTATTTCACATTAACTGGCTCTGGTTCCAACTTTGCATTGATGGAGATGTTTCATTTTACAGTACTAAGATAATATTACAGTAAGATCCTGTGAGATAATATGGAGGTATGTTATTATTATTATTATTATGACGTGCTGCTGCCCTCGTGGCCAGGTCACCCTTGTGAAAGAGATTTACCATCTCTTTCACAAGGGTGACCTAAAATAGAAAATTAGTATTTAAACTGAGGTTGGTTTGAAGATCATGGCTGTGTTTAGAAAATGCAAAGGCTTAAATTTACTGTCATCTAACAGAAGTTCTCAGTGTATCAACCTGAATCTGTAAATATTCGATCATTAGGACAGATGTTTGTAATTTAAATATGTAATAACTGCTGTTTATTCTGATTTAGAAGATGGACTTCATGTGTCAGTGTGACAGACGCTTTAAAGGTGGAGGGTTTGCTGGTAATTTGGGGAAATTTATGAAGGAACTTAACTTTAACTTGGTTGTTTCAAAGTCAAGATTATATGAAGAAAAACATTTTGGTCCCTTTATGATCACCTCAACGTGTAATCTTTGTACATCACAGTTTAACAAATCATATTTTCCTCTGTATACATGCAAACATTTTTTTCTACCTGTGAACAACAAATGATTTTTCTGCGTGTGTGTACTTTAAAAAAAACAATTTCAACCTTCTTGAAGATACAAAAGGAGTGGGACAAACTTATAAAACCCACCCCCATAGAAGAATTCCTAATGCTGATACAAAAAGGGAAGGGTCATAAGAAAATAAATGGCAAACTGTATAACATATTTTTATCTATGAATACAGACAACTCACTGAGGGTGAAGCAGAGATGGGAGACGGAAACAAACATGGTTATATCGCAAGACAACTGGGAAGAGGTTTGTACAGAAGCACACTTGGTTACAAACTCAAACACGTGGAGGGAGTTTAAATGGAAAATTGTTACTAGATTTTTTAGAACTCCAGAAATAACATCCAAAATGTGCCAGGCACATCCCACAATTGTGGAACCCATGTGGCTAATCATACCCACATTTTCTGGTCATGTCCGAAACTAAGCTTGTTCTGGAGAGAAGTATTGGATGCACTGAAAGAGGTCTTCCAAAAGGACATTCCACAAGACCCCCTGGTGGCAATACTTGGAGTGACGCCTGTTGGCCTGAATGGCAGGGCCAAAAAGTACTTGTTTAATATCTTATTCAAAGCGGCCCTGAAGTGCATCACCATACGCTGGTTGAAACCAGACCCTCCCACTTACAATATATGGATCCAGAAAGTTTGGGACATTTACCAAATGGAGCAAATTACATATCAATTAAGACTCCAAAAAGAAACTTTCACAACAAGATGGAGACATGTAGTGGCTTTACTAATGCAATAGAGAGTGTTGTTTAATTTGGGTGCAGACCAAGACCATGCACCATTTTGGGGTTGACTTCACACTTGTACTTTGACACGTGAATTCTTCTTTCTTTATGATTACAACTTTTATTTATGATTTTCATTTCTCCTCTACTTTTATGAACATTTATTTATGTACTTGTTTGTTTATGTGTATTATTGTGTATATGTATATTCTTTGGAGTGGACATTTTGATTTGTATCTTACTTTTGTAATCTATTTCTGCTGGCTTAATATCCAGATGTAACTATACAGCTGGAAAAAGGAAAAAAAAAGAAATATTTTTCATATTGTACTGTTGTTGATGGGAAAAATGAATAAAAACTAAGTTAAAAAAAACAAACAAATTTCAATATCTGCTACATAACTACATGAACATCCTAACATCACTCAATCTTCATCTCTAGCAGCACAGAGCTCAGATTTGTTTGTTAGCTCTTGTTCAAGTACCACAGATAAAAAAAAGACCAACATGTCAATTCGTTTTACCGTCCTAAAAGTGAAATCATTAAATCTAATAGCTCTGCAGGGTTCACAGGTCAATCTGAGTCGTACATGAGAACCATTCGTTCACCGTTGTGTCTAAACTTCCCGGCCTTTATTATTTTCATTCCCCTTTAATCCACTCCAGTGTAGTTGTTGGCATAATGCAACGCTGGTTTTGCTAATGAAGAAGAAGTAATAGACGTAGAAAAAGTAGAAACAAAAGAAGAAATCAACAGCTCCTTCGATCAGTTTACAATGAGAAACAGCCAGGACCAAGTCCTACAAGACAAACTCAGCTTCACCTGGTGAAGCCTGTTAGCTTCTCAAGCTTTATACTGTAATGTTTACTCCCTCTGCCTAAAAAAATAATGATGTAAGAGATGGAGTCATACGAAGCAGCTCCTTTCAAAGAGCTGTCATAAAGATTTGTCTCACGCCTCTCCATGGGGAATTCTGCTATCCTATTGGTGCACACCAATTAACTGTTGTATTGCTATCCATGTTTAAGACACTTTGTTATTCAAGTTCCTCCCCACGTTTTGTCCAGACAGCCTCCTGATTTACTCAGAAATACATCCTGGTATGGACACAATCTTTAGATTTTAAAAGCTCTTCTTCACAGGGTGGACACGTTGGTTGCAGCACAATAAATGCTTTTTATTAAACATTTTGCGACTGTTCTTAACTGGGGCCAAAAACAAAGGGAGTTTGATGTTGATTTTTCAATCACTGTGGTGTCAGATTACCAGCACATTGTTTGTTATTGGATGTCTGCCTTCTGAGTCCATGAAAGCCTGAGTGGGAAAGGTCAACCTGACTCTGAGGGTGTCAGAGGTCGGCTCCTCAGGAATCCTGCTGCTGCAGCAATGTGTGCGTAAGGGGTCTCTACAGTGCTTTCAGTGCCTTAACTCACTGAAGATAATTTCAAGTAGTAGAACCAATCAGTTGGGCTTTTTAGTATGTTTCTATCACACAATCAATGAAACAGATTGTGTGTTCGACTGTCTGTGCACGGCTCCTCTCCTGGTACCTGACTGTACATTTAATCAACAGCTGTCCATCCACAATACAACTAATCAAATAAGAAGTATTCATTTTCTGATTTCGGTAGATTTTTCCTATTAGTGCAAATGAAAAAGTCTGAAAACTGTGTGAAGTGTCAGTGTGGCTCGTCAATGCTCTGTGTGAAGTGTTCTCCAGTGTACAGGCCGTAGTGCAGCGTGTCTTTCTGGGCTGCAGCCCACGCCATCTGCCGGCTGGAGAAGCGAGCGACCCAGTTACCCTGAGGGTCCACCGTCACCACACCACCAAGACCATCCACTCTGGACTTCATGTAGGCCAGGGCAGAGTCACTGGCTGCCTCTGCTGACTGACCTAAAGAACAGAGGAGAGAGGAACGCTAACTGAACAACTCCAGTTAACCTCTGCATTCATTTCTGGTGTTTATTATTAACATCTACATGCTGAGAGAGAGAGAGAGAGAGAGAGTGTGTGTGTGTGTGTGTGTGTGTGTGTGTGTGTGTGTTACCTTGCTCCATGTAGAACAGGATGAGTCTGGCTAAAACAACTTTCATGATAGCTTCTCCATGGCCTGTAGTGGACACTGCTCCTGAGTTGTTGTCAGCATAACCTCCACAACCTGATACACACAACAACAAATACACACACACACACGCACACATGTGGGTCGGTGCACATCAAATCTGGGAGTCAGTAGTTGAGGCAATCGAGCTAAATGCATCAACATCCTTGGAATCTGCAACCAGGTCTTTCACTTTTTCTTTCACTGATTTAAAAACATTGAAGGATCCCAGCTCCTTGAGGTTTAAGTCATAACATTATAAAGCACTTCAGAAACCAGACACACATGGACTTTTCCTGCTCGAATGGCTTTCCTAAGATCTCAAGACATGACTGCTGGAAGAAAAAAAAAGATAAACCCTGTAAGTAAAAGATTTAAGAGAACGAGCGTAAGATCTGAGCTGAGTCCAGATCCATAAACTAAAGCTCTCCACGTGAGACTTCAGGGTGAAGAAATGTAAATATACTTAAGAACTGATGGAAATCAGACAAGTGTAAAACTGCATTGATGGGCTAGTTCTTCTACTTAAGTATGTTTCTACAGCAGTATCTTTTTCTAAAAATGATCAGAATCGTTTTGTACTTTTTATCTTGTGGCCTTTCTGTTAATGTCAGACGTCTGAGGCGGTATCCACTCATGACAGCCGAGTCATTCATTGACTGATAGTGACGGATTACAGTCTAAACTCCACTCACTTCACTAAACCTTTAGAGTGAATCAACCCTGAGATGATTCAGCTAGTGCCACACCAAATGTACACTTATTATTTTAAACAACACTCCGGACGCTGAAACATTACTCAGGCAACATTAGGGTTATTAGAATGAGCCACTCGAGCTGTGACTCTGACACAATGAGCAGGAATTAGTGAGTACATGGTAAATGGACTTTTACGCATCATGCTCAAAGGACTGGAGGACTGTTAAAAACAAAGAACAATGAGTTAACCTTTTTCAGGTTAAGTGTCTTTAGTATGTCTTTCTTCAACAAATACCTTTATGATGAGGCATATCATTCCACGCTGTATGTTTGAGGACTGACCTATGCAGGGTGTGTCCCCCACCCGACCCTCCATCTTGTTCAGCATCCCACCAGTGGAGGTCGCACAGGCTACAACTCCCTCACTATCCACTGCCACGGCCCCGACTGTGCCCATCTTCCCCCTACACGTTGAAAAAAAACAGAAACAGAAAAAACAGATGTGAAATGTGTATGGATGGGATTCGTTAATACTGATGGACACTTTGCGTAGCAGCCTCTGTCATCACTGTGTGAATGTGGTGTGACAGGAAGTGTAAAAGCAGCTTTGAGTGGTCTAGAACGCTGGTTCTCAACTGGTCTATCCTCAAGACCCACAACCTACAGTACAACAAATTTAGGATATTTTTTAACCAATCAGATTTATTTACTGAAAAAATGTTGCAGTTCGAACGGCAGAGGATGCAAAACATGTGGATGCAACCGAAACTGCAGCAGAACAAACTCTGATCTGACGCTTCAGCGTGGCCACAGAGCCCGGGCATCCATGACTACTGCTTTGCCTATTTTCTCTGGTCATCAATACAGTCACACCAGCTGCTCTTTCTGTTGACACAGTGTTCTCACACACAACCTGCTCTGTTGGACGTGGAGGTGGTACAGGTATCCTCATTTCTAATACCTGGAAATTCAATAAACTCTTCCCACTGAGCAACAACTCCTCATTTGAATATCACACAATCTTGGTTACTGCTCCTATTAAAATGTACATTGCTATCATTTACCGCCCACCAGGGTGTAATCTGAATGATTTTGTTGTGGAACTGGACATGCTACTCTCAGAAATCCCTGATGATGGAACACCATTGATTGTAATGGGAGACATGAATATACACACTGATAAAGCCCAGGCAACAGACTTCCTTGCTCTCTTATCCTCATTTGACCTCACGCAGGTCCTAACTCCTCCTACCCACAAAGCTGGCAACACTCTTGATTTAATCCTGACTCGGAACTGCTCGACAGCAAACCTGACTGTCACCCCTCTACATCTATCAGACCACTTCTTCATTCAATTCACAATCTCTGTGCCGGAACTCCCTCAGGCACACCCACAAATGGTGTCATACCACCAAAACATGCGATCGCTCAAGCCAGCTCAGCTGTCTAACGAGGTAATGGATGCCATGCCTGCCCAAAAGGTCTTTACCGCACTGTCTACAGACGAGGCTACAGACATACTCTGCTCCACACTAGCCTCATCTCTGAACAAGCTCTGCCCTCTGGTGTCCAAACCCGCTCACAAAACCCACCCTAGCCCATGGCTCACGGAAGTCATAAGAGAGCAAAGAGCAGGGCTGAGGTCAGCAGAGAGAAAATGGCAAAAATCCAAACAGTCCGCTGACCTCAATGACTATACACAAAGACTTGTCTCATTCTCCTCCAGCCTGAAAACGGCCAAGACAACATATTATCAAAACAAGATATGCAATGCCACAGATACAAGAACATTTTTTTCTGCTTTTAACTCACTGCTTCAACCACCTCCTCCTCCACCCTCCGATCTGTTCACACCAGACTTGTTTGCCTCGTATTTTACTGAAAAGGTTGGAACCATCAGTAACCAGTTTTCTGAGCCTGACCAACTCAGCCCAAAGGCACCAATCAAAAGTGCCTCACTCGACTCATTCTCCTCTCTGACTGAGGATGAAGTATCTAAGCTTGTGCTAGACTCTCGGCCCACCACCTGTCCTCTGGACCCAATACCATCAAGCCTCCTGCAGACCATTTCTTCTCTGCTTAATGCTGCACTTAAGCATATCATCAACTCCTCTCTGTCAACGGGTGTGTTCCCCACCGCATTCAAGCAAGCTCGGGTCACCCCTCTGCTCAAAAAACCCACACTAAACCCAGCCCAGGTTGAAAACTACAGACCGGTTTCTCTTCTGCCCTTTCTGTCAAAAATACTTGAGCGCACAGTCTTTAAGCAAGTCTCTGAGTTCCTGTCCAGAAACGATCTGCTTGACCCGGGGCCACTCTACTGAAACTGCACTACTGTCAGTAACAAAATCGCTACGAGCTGCCAGAGCTGCGGGTCAGTCCTCAGTTCTATTACTGCTAGACCTGTCTGCTGCCTTTGACACAGTCAACCATCAAATCCTCCTATCCACGCTCTCTGAACTTGGCATCTCAGGATCTGCCCTCTGCTGGTTCATGTCCTACCTCTCTGGGCGATCCGTTAGAGTGTTGTGAAAAGGGAGAAGTGTCCAAAGCGCACAGCTTATCCACAGGGGTACCTTAAGGGTCAGTGCTTGGTCCCCTTCTCTTCTCCATATACACAAGCTCACTTGGTTCAATAATCCGCTCTCATGGCTTCTCATACCACTGCTATGCTGACGATACCCAGCTCTTCCTGTCATTCCCGCCAGACGATGTTACAGTCTCTGCAAGAATCTCGTCATGCCTTGCTGATATCTCTAAATGGATGAATGAACGGCACTTTCAACTCAATCTTTCAAAGACTGAGCTCCTTGTCATCCCAGCCAGTCCCTCTATGCAACCACAGATCAGTATCCAGCTTGGAACAACCAAAATCATGCCCACAAAGTCTGCCCGGAACCTGGGTGTCATGATTGATGACAAGCTAACTTTTAAGGTTCAAGTAGCCTCGATTGCCCGGTCATGTCGATTTGCCCTGTACAACATCAGGAAGATCAGACCTTACCTGTCAGAACATGCTACACAGCTCCTGGTACAGGCTCTTGTGATATCACGCATCGATTATTGCAACTCTCTACTGGCAGGTCTTCCTACATGCACTATCAAACCTCTACAAATGATACAAAATGCAGCAGCACGACTGGTATTCAACCTTCCTAAAAGAGCACATGTCACTCCACTGTTCATCTCCTTACACTGGCTCCCAGTTACTGCTCGCATCAAATTTAAAACTCTGCTGCTCGCTTACAAAACAGCAACAAAAACAGCTCCTCCTTACTTTAACTCTCTCATCCAGGTCTACACTCCCTCCTGCCCACTATGCTCTGCCAATGAAAGGCGTCTGATCCAACCTTCACAACAGGGTCCTAAGTCTCTGACTAGACTAGAACTTCCAAACTCCATTCGATCTGCAGAGTCCCTCTGCACCTTTAAGAAAAAGCTAAAGACCCAGCTCTTTCATGAATACCTACTAACTTAATGATGAACTGCCGTCAATGTTGTGCTTTGTCTCTGTGCAATGCCTGTCAGCAACTGTGTGTCCAATCGGACTCAAAGCTGATCGTTTGCTCTTACTGACATTGTTCCCTTTTTTCTAGATCCTTGCTTGTGTTGTACTTACTCTTTGATGTACGTCGCTTTGGATAAAAGCATCTGCTAAGTGAATTGTAGAAAAAAAATTGGATTTCATTTACAGTAACATTACAGCTTGTTTTAAGGCTGCTCAAAGTGATCATCTGAAGATATATCGAAACTTTTTGCACCTATAACTAATTAATGCCCTTAAAACATGTCCAAACTCAACAGAATCCCTCCTTAAGGAACACTCCAGCAAAGACCTTGTTCCTTTAGGAAAGGCACAGCTGCAGTCAGCTGGGACTCACAGCAGTAATCATGAATTCCAACGATGACCCAGAGTCAGAGCATAGAAACCTGTGCAAACATCCATACAACCCTCTCCAGTAACTACTGCTGCATAACCCCTGCTATGGTTGATTCTTGTGCTCAGTATGTTCCAGAAAGTCTTTAAAATCTTTACTGGGCTTCAATAAGAGGCTCTGGGATAAGACTTATGAGTCACTTCTTAATGGATCACACCTTTTTTTTCTTTCTTATAAATTTAAAAGAAGGTCTCACATTTGGCACTCCAAAGGGTTGGCATCGAACTGTTTGCACCCTCTGCAGTGAGACATGCATGACTCGTCTGAAACCCAGATCACAGTAGGACATTAAAAAAATGAATCTCTGCACTGTGATGGTATACTATACTACTATACTTTCATAAATGAATGCATGCTAGTTTGGCTGTTATTACAAAATGTAATGTTTACACACTCTACTTTATACCCATTATTATTATTTGTTACTTTTCTTAAATCCTGCTGTCCCTGTATAACTGGCCATATTTCGGGGTCCAGTATTGTTATATATACGTTACATAAGGAGATTTTCGGGGTTAAACCAAAATGTTTTGGAAGAAAAAGTTTATGAAAAAATGATGACAGTGTACTGTCAAAGAGGGATGCCACATTTTAGACCTTCCTTATCAAAAAACTAGGAACAAACCCAGGGACAGCTCTCTTTGATGTTTTGAATTTGGACTGCAGTACCCATTTTAATCACTAGATGTCAGAGTAACATATTGCTCCTTTAACATCCTGAGTTGACAACATAACAGTAATGCAAACATGACAACTTTGACGTTTCTACCGGTTTCCATCGGCTATCTGCCGGGACAAACACTTAAATGGTGCTTGAAATAAAAACTGAACCTACACTTTAATTGATCCTTAACTGGATTGTTGAAGGAGAAAACACTCTCCTTTATCTCTCCTGAATACTGTTCTGTGCATAAACTGCGCAGCTGCTCCTGTACAGTGCAGGAACCTTGAGTAAATGGAGTTTTTGAATTTGATGAAGGTTTTCGTTTATGAGTTAAATTGGTTTAATCTCCATAAAAACAAGCAAGATTACAAAGGGGGGGGTGGGGGGTGATGGGGCATTGCTAACAAAAACTAAAACTCTGCTGTTAAGCCTACTGTCTACACCTTACTGTATACTTATAGATTTGTTGTTGCACATACAGTATGGTAAAAACATGAGCTTTAGTAAGTTTATGAACACAAACAGGCCGGAGTTTCTCCTGCCAGCCCCCTCGTTTATTTTCCAGATAAAGTCTGAGTGAGCAGATGCGAGAAGGCAGCAGGATATTATCAGGAGGAGAATGCACGACTACAGAGACACAAAATAGAACTGCCGCATCATGTTTGTTTTCTGTTCTCCAGTTTTTCTTCTCCATTATTCTTTTTTTTTTGATATTGTGATCCTGTAGAACTACACATAGCATTGATATAATATTCTGATAATAGCCTTGTATAGCGGACTGTGTTGCTTTGTTCCTTGCCTCAGGAAACCCCACTTCTGTACAAGGATAGTCTCCGGCTGTGAGCTGAAAGTGTGGACAACAAGATCAGGAGGATTTCAGGAGCAGTCCTCCTGAAGTTCTTTAAAGATTTTCAGGAGTGCATATGTCAAAACGAATTGTCTTTGCTAAATGTTAAGTGATTTGCTCATAGTGGATTAATGTTGAGTGTTTGTAAATAATATAATAAAGAGTTCGGTCTCTGTCTTTTTGTAAAGTGTCTTGTTTTGAATTGGCGTTATACAAAAAAAGATTGATCGATTGATGTTAAAAGCTTCAAACCTTGTCCATAACCAGTCTTGCTAGCTGGGTTGGGTTGGCTATGTCGCGTACAGCTGACACTGCACCAGTCGCCAACGTTTTCCAGTCCATCACAAAAGCATCCATCTCCACCTCTCCCTTCACGTTCAGCACCGACCCACAGCCTGAAATAAATATGAAGAGAGAAATCATTTGATAGAGTCCGGCATCATGGGACAAAGAATGTCTCTCTGTATAACATCTTTAAAGAAAATGATCTGTGACAATTATTGTAAAATGATTCAGCAATTAAAGTATTGCTGTATCCGGGAGCCGGATACAGCAATACTTTGATGTTTGGGGCAGCAGTCCGTGATGACATTACCACAATAATAAACAAAGTAAACAAGGACATATCAATCGCAGAACTTATTCAATCGGAAATACGTTAAATCTGAGGGGCCCTTGAACGCACCATTTCTACCAACACACCCAACACCTTGTTCTCAAACAAATCGCTGTATCAACTTCAGACATACGACTAATACATTCAAATAAAAACTCATAATTTACCATTTATTTACAACATTTCTAAATGAAATTCCGCCTGGCTATCTTTACAAAATTACCCAAGGTGTGTCATAGACTACAGTAATAAAGAGGTGTTAACAACGTAAATTATTATTTAAAATTGGCCAAAAATGACGAGCAGAAATATGAGATATATGTTGATATAGGAAAACTAAAGCAGGACTTCATTGCTGAATAGCCTAAACTGTAAGGTAGGTTCGGTGTTATAACAGAATTGCATAATTATTACGGATTATGTGGAGACAGTCTTGAGACATGCAAAAAAGACTGAAGTCATATGAGAGCCAACGCCGTTGTAAACAAGCATTGCGACGTTTTTCTTGGCGTAGTGAGTAAACAGACTATCACTGCAGACTATCACAGAGTGAAACAGACGTAACATACGTAGAGAATATAACAACAAATAACATGCTCTGCTATTTCTTTATCCATTCATTCTTTTATTCCAGAAATTCTACATGTACCTGCTGCTGGCTTGATGGACTTGAATAGTGTTTCTTCTCCTGCTTCAAACTTCTTCTTCTCTTCCTCTCTTTGGGGTCTATGGCAGATCTAATCCATAATGTTGCTTCAGCGCCACCCTCTGGTTGTGTTATTCTTCTCTACCCTGCCATGTCTGGTTTAGTGTTCTTTGAACAATGAAAAAGGCTATCCCTCTGTGGAAAACTATATTTTGTGCTGTTACTGTCACCATTTCTTGCCTTTTGTAGGAAAATTTGCTGTATGTGCGAAATTCTCAATCTGTCATTGTACTTTTTCAGCGCTGTCCCCCACACATCTTTCAACACGTGAGGAGTTTTTAACTAGATTTAAAACAGACAGAAATTCAAAGTGGCGACTCTTTAAGACCAATTTAAAAGACAACCATGTTGTCATTTTCACTGGCTGTGTCTGAGTCCGTGGGAAAGGCATGAGATGAGACTTTTTACAAAAGTCACCCATCCTCCACTCCACTTTTGTGTCGACTTTAGACAGACAACACAAAATAACACAAGTAGATGAAAGTCACATCAGTTTATTTATTACAAGGTTACACACAGAGGCATCCAATAAAACAGAGTGACAGAAAGAAGAGAAGAAGAATCCTTACACTGCAACTGTTTCATATAAACACTTTAAATTCAAACGTCATAGCTGATCCCACCTTACTGGTTCATATGTCAGCAACAAAACATCACAAAAGTCAAAAAAGTACAGACAGATTCCTGTGAATAGAATTGTCTCATATCCCTTTATAACAACAGTTATACATCTGTTAGTCAATACATACTTATGAATACACATCAATGATGTTGTTAACTTGGAATCCTTTGGATTAGTTTTAGCATTGCACAGGATTATTGTGAATCATCATGTGTTTGGTCAGATGTCTCTTCGAACTAAACCTTTTACCACACTCAGAGCAGCTGAAGGGTTTCTCTGCTGTATGAACTAACATGTGTGTGGTTAGATTTCCTCTTTGGGTAAAGCTTTTACCACACTCAGAGCAGCTGAAGGGTTTCTCTCCTGTATGAACTAACATGTGTCTGGTCAGATGTACTCTTCGGGTAAAGCTTTTACTGCAAACAGAGCAGCTGAAGGCTTTCTCTCCTGTATGAACTAACATGTGACTGGTCAGATTTACTCTTCGGGTAAAGCTTTTACTGCAAACAGAGCAGCTGAAGGCTTTCTCTCCTGTATGAACTAACATGTGTGTGGTCAGACTTCCTCTTCGGGTAAAGGTTTTACTGCAAACAGAGCAGCTGAAAGCTTTCTGTCCTGTATGAACTAACATGTGTGTGGTCAGATGTACTCTTTGGGTAAAGCTTTTACTGCAAACAGAGCAGCTGAAGGCTTTCTCTCCTTTATGAACTAACATGTGTGTGGTCAGATGTTGTCTTCGGGTAAAGCTTTTACTGCAAACAGAGCAGCTGAAGGGTTTCTCTCCTTTATGAACTAACATGTGTGTGGTCAGATTCCCTTTTAGGTTAAACCTTTTACCACACTCAGAGCAGCTGTAGGGGTTCTCTTCTTTATGAACTAACATGTGTCTGGTCAGATTCCCTTTCTGGTTAAATCTTTGACCACACTCAGAGCAGCTGTAGGGTTTCTCTCCTTTATGAACCAACATGTGTCTGGTCAGAGTCCCTTTCTGGTTAAATCTTTTACCACACTCCGAGCAGCTGTGTGGTCTCTTACAAGTCTTTAGTTTCTTATTTTTCAAGTTTAATTCTGACAGATGTTCTCCTGTCTCTTGCCAATCATCACTGTCATCAGTCTCAGGTTCATAAGAGTCTTCAGTCTCGACCTCAGTCTCTGGTTGTAAACGTCTCTCTGGATCTGAGTCTCTCTCTGGTTCTGCTCCACCACAGTCCTCTCCATCAACTCCTGTTTCCATCTGTTCAGTTTGTCTCTGATGAAGCTGTGAGGACTGAGGTTTCTCTTCATCATCTTCACTCTTCACAGAGACAGGAGTGAAGGGGAACTTGGTGGTATCAGCCTCCTCCAGTCCTTGAAGCTGTTCTTCCTCCTGACTGATCCACAGTTCCTCATGTTCTTCTTTAATGTGTTGGGGCTTAGTGTCCTCCTGGTCCAGAATGTGGCTCCACTCCTGCTGCTCAGGTGGAAGCTCTTCTTTACTCACCAACAGCTGCTGGACATCTGCAGGACACAGTAAACAAACATTAACGGTACTCAGACTGTTTTTTTTAAATATCAATAAGGTCAAATGTCAAATGATTTCATTTTCAATGGCTGAAAAGCTTTAGCGGAGCTGCACATAGCGGTGAATCCCAATAACGCTGTCGGTAGAAACAGCATTCACAGCCGCTCCTCTGACTGCTGCTAAGTGAGCCGGCGTTCACAACGGCACATCAGTTGAGCCCGGGTTTTATTTTTGCTGCGCTGGAAGG